ATTTAATAATTCTATTACTGATTAATAAATAGAATGTTTAGAAGGTGATAGACGATGTATTTCTTCAATAATTTAAATCCTTTATTTGATTTGCCTATCATATTGCTAATTGATATCAAGTGAATCATGTTTAATTTTTCGTAAATCTAATTGGTAATTTTTTAGACTATGTCTAATGACTATTTAGTTTAATTTAGTTTTGCGTGTTTGGCATTGGGGGGGGGTTTGCGTTGGGGGGGGTGGGCGCTTGGGAGGGGGGGGTGTGTGGGTGCGGCGTGGGGGGGGGGGTGGGGGTGGGGTGGGTGGGGGGGGGGTGTGGTGGGCGGGTGGGGGTGCGGGGGGGGGGGGGGGGGGGGGGGGGGGGAGAGGAGGGGGGGGGGGGGGGTGGGGGGGTGGGGGGGGGGGGGGGGGGGGGGGGGGGGGGGGGGTGGGGGGGGGGGGGGGGGGGGGGGGGGGGGGGGGGGGGGGGGGGGGGGGGGGGGGGGGGGGGGGGGGGGGGGGGGGGGGGGGGGGGGGGGGGCGGGGGTGGTGGGGGGGGGGGGGTGGGGGGGGGGGGGGGGGGGGGGGGGGGGGGGGTGGGGGGGGGGGGGGTGGGGGCGGGGTGGGGGGTGTTATAAAAGTATTTCTAATGCCATATTATTGATGAATGGTACAGAATTTATCATTTTAGAATTTAATAGTTCAATTATGAATGGATATAAAAACCCCAAAATAATTTAAACAAATATGAAAGTATAAATATTAGAAACGTCTGTTTCGGCATTAAGCAGCCTCGTAAGATGTATACTTTTTACCTGCTTGGCGTTTAAGTTTTTAATTTTTCCAAAATTAATGATCTTAAATCTTACTGGTAATTAATTTTGAGAGAGATACTTGAATTTATGTGGTCTTGCTTTTTTTTTATCATAAATTCTGACCCGAAGAAATCGACTCGCCAGGCCGGGCGGAACATTCTTTGGGGGTGGTGTATGGGCGTTTTGGGTTTTCTATGTGACGGTACAGAGCCAGTTTTTCTAGACATCTCCACGAAGTCCACCTCTTTTAGGCGCTCGCTAGGGCTTTGCTAAATACTAAAAAAAACACACCCCCCACAACGACCTAAAACGTTTAACACGTTTCTACAAACGTATTACATTTTATTATAGATTGTTTGCAATATAGAGTTATAATAATTTTACATAAAGAAATTTTTAAACAAATGTTATGAATGGATATTTTGAAAGAAATATGTTGAATGAAAAATTGTGACTTGTATTATATTTAATTTGAAAAGTATCACTATATTTTTAGTAGTTAAAATTTGTCTATGTAATTTGACAGCTAATTATATAATTTTTTAAAAATACGTCATTTGAGGAACTCCTATTGGAAGAAATGTGTAGTGGCATGCAAAGTAAATGCTACACATGCTAGATTCGATATTTCTTAAAAGAAGGTAATACTTAAGCTGTATGAAACCACAAAATCTTCCAGATTTTGTAGCGTTTTTGTCATTTACATACACATGCACGTTTCGAGAGCATTTAGATTAAACCCCCTTTGGGCTAAAAATCTTTAAAAACAGCATATCTTTAGAATTCCCGATAGACAGTCTCCCGCGCTGGAGATAAGAATATTTTATTCCGTACAGTGTTTCCACTGCTCGCTTTGAAATAGTTGAGTTGGTTACTCAAAAGTTCATTAAAGTTTTGAAAAATATTAAATATAAATTTCGAAATTCAAAATTCGGCCTTCCAGGTGCCCATATTCGGGTGGAGGACTACGTTATTCAGAATTTGATGGCTGTAGGTAGCATCGTTTTTTCAGTGCAAGAAACGTACATATGCTCGTGCAAATTCTTTATTATTTAATTTCCTTAAATATAATACAGGGCGATAGTATTTAATATCAACTATCTGAAAAGTGATTCAATGCTTTTAATGATTCGTTTGGAGATTGCCGTTTGCAAAATGCCGTTTGGAGATTAATAGCCCTTCTGGGCTAACGCTCCTTTGGGCTAAAAATTCAGCTAAAAAAAGTTGCAAGTTCTGAAGTGTTCCTTTCATTATTTCGAATTCAGTTTGTAAGATCTGAAAAAGATTTCTAGTACACGCTCACCATGTTCAGCTGAGCAAATCATTGCTTCACAGAATATGCCTGATATTGATAGTAGAGATTTTTTTTTTAACTGCTTTTCTAACTTCATCGAATATACATAACCAATGAATTTTTTTCTTCGAATTCTAATGGTGTTTATTTAACAGTTTATTATTTATTCAACACCTAACGTTTCTACCAGATCTCAAGAAATAACTGTTGTTCCTTAAGCGCCGTTCCACTGGGGTTTATCTGAGCTAACGGAGTCGGTTCCATGTGTGGACTAGCTCCGCTGTGCCTACAGTTCAGATTTTTCAACTCGCTGCCCTATGGGGAAAATCTGGTTTTGGAGATGGGTCGACTACGTTAGTTGTGTTCGTTAGCTCATAAACCCAGTGGGAACGGTCCTTTACAGTTCTCTATCCTCGTAAAGAATCTATATCATTTCCATATCTTTTGAAAGTCAGATGAGCTTAAAGATTTCACAACGAGTGTTCAAAAATCGCTTCCACAGCTTCTGTGTTGAATGACACATAATGCTCCGTCACTCCCCATATCAGTGTTCTTCAGAACTTGACTGGTACTCTAGCTGGTTCTGTTAAGTTTCGATGATGGAATTTCTTCGGTAATTCCTATACCTTTTATTTCTAATCTCTAAATTGCTTGATAGATTTTCGCCAATATAGACCTTATGGTAGATGTATTTCATCAAATAAACTGTTACTTAAGTAGCGGTTGGGAAACTGCGGCTGAGCGGTAAAGTCGCTAAACACTGGTAGTTCGCATTTTTGTCGTTTTCTTCATCAATAATGCAGATATGAGACAGTTCCCTTAGAAAGTCCTCCACAAAAGTAAGCCTTCCCTCGCGTACTTTGTCATAATTTAATCAAATCATAAACCGGAAATTTGTTTTTTCCTCTAAATCCAGGGTTTCCCAACCCTATTCCCGTGGGCACCTTGGTGCCCGCTAATAGTTTAACGTGTACCCGCAGCTGTGCAATCACAATAAAAATGTTTTAGTTTATAAGGTATTTCTCCCGCCTTCTTAGCACGCCTTCGTAGTGTAATGGTCATCACACTTGGCGCGTATTCGAGAGGTCTGCGTTAAAGTCCCGGTGAGGGGACTGCTCATTTTTCATATCTCCTGCTTGCAAAAAAATTCTAATAACTCTACAGTGGCCCCCGAACTAAAAAAAAAAAAAAAGGTGGTGGATGATCATTCTCCATCACCAGGATTTGGCGATTGGGCTCCCTAATCCCCAGTCGCTACTTACAAGGAGGAGTATATAAGGTATTTCTCCTGCCTTCTTAGCATGCTTTCGTGGTGTAGTGGTCAGCACACTCGGCGCGTATTCTCGAGGTCCGTGGTTCAAGTGCCGGCGTGCTTATTTTTTCATATTTCTTGCTATCAAAACCTAACGTCTCTACAGGTTTTCAATAAAATTCTATGTGAAAGTTTTCTCGTTTTTAATGAAAAAGAAATTGCGTCCAACACAGATACCAACACAAAGCGAAATGCGACCGATCTTTTTATGTGCATGCATTATTAATTTAATCAATTTTAACTGCACCTTGAAAAAGTAAACGGTGCCCGCCGTCCAGCAGATATTCTCGAATGTGTTCTTAGGGGCAAAAAGGTTGGAAACCCCTGCACTAAGCTATGAGAGTATTTTGTGAAATGTCCGAGTAATGTCTTAAGTAACATTAAAATTGCAAGTTGAGTTAACATCTCTATATTCATGTTCATTTATCATATAAAAGGTCATACTTATTTTCATTTTTCAGTTTTTTATTGTGGATTTTCTCGGTTACCTTTTCAATTAACTTTTACCGTCTGATATTACACAAATAGGTCATTATCTTTATTTCTAAAAATTATGTGTATTGTAATATTCAGTCGAAAAATGTTTTGTACTATTGAACACTATTCTGTTGAAGTAATTTAAAACAAAGCAATATTGCTACGTTTATGTAAAGAATTATTGAAGAAAATAGGGGAAAAAAATCTGAAATGTTTCAGATTTTAAATTGCGTCCAAAGGGACGTTTTTTTAAACATTTTGTGTTACCTTTATTTATTAAATATCATGTTCTTTGCATTCAAACCAAAAAATTTAGTTCAATAATAATGTCGCAAAATAATTTTAATTATCTTTAGCTTAATCTTTAGAATAATCTTTAATATTTAGCATAATTTTTAATCTTTAGAATAACCTTTAATCTTTAGAATAAAATATCTTTAGAATTTCTGATATACATTTCTGATGCGCGGGTGATAAAAAGTTCCCCCCCCCCGTAGAGTGTCGCCATTGGTCGCCTTTTAATCGTTGAGTTTGTTACTCAACATTCGTTCAGTTAGAAAATATGAAATCGATAATAAAAAAATCCAAATTTCAAATTTGGGATTTCAGATGCCGAATTCGCATGGATTCGTTATTCAAATGGATGGCCGAGTACCGTTGCTTTATCCATGCGAGAAAATAGTACATTATGCAATTTTTCTTATTAATTTCTTCAAGTAATGCGGCCTCTACATGGGTGGAAAGTTGAAAAGTGACCGGACATTTACAGGAGTCCGACGCAAAATGCCAAAACGAAAGTAATAGTCCTTCGGGAACTCAAATCCCTTTGGACTAAAAATGTATTTAAAAGAAATGAAATTAAATGGCTATTTAAAATATTTAAAAACAACCGTGTAATCATAAAAACAGGGGTTTTTTTTTTTTTTTTCTGTTTGCGCTTCTGTTTACTCGAGTACCAGCTTCTTCCAAGTAAGTTTATTATTATTACCTTTTACTATTACTAAATGCCCACAGCGCAAAGCCTCAGTGTTCTAATTTGAGTTCAAGTTTAAGTCAAGTACATCCCATAACCTTTTAGCATACTTCCGATATTGAAACTATAGATAAAATTTGATCTCAACAGGCTCGTCTCCGCGCTTACGTGGGTTGGCTCAATTCCCAGCTACGGAAGGAGGAAGGGGGTCGGCGGGTAAGCGACCTGCGCAACGACCTCAGGGACGGAGTTATTCTTGCGCACTTGGTTGCCACGCTCGGTGAGTTTGAAACATTTTATCTGCCCTTTTTATTTGCTTATGTACACCTTACAGCTTTTATTACCTCTTTTTATTTGCTGACCTATGATACAGTTCAAAAAACATTGCATCGATTTGGATTTCTCAGTTGCAAGAGTCTTTTTCTTTAAGAAATTAATTAAAAATAAATTAAATGTTAATAAGACATTAAATGTTAATGTCTTTACAATTTAATGCTAATAAGGAGTAATATTATAGTCTTTTTATTTTAGTTTCAATATCTAGAGCATGAAACATTGATATAAAATGAAGTATTTCAGTTTAATAACATTTGCAATGAAATTAACTGAGCCCCACCGTCTCGAGAGCTGGAGATAAAAATGTTTCTTTTTCCGTACAGTGTTGCCATCGCTCGCTTTGAAACCGTTGAGCTTGTTAATCAAAAATACGTTAATGTTTTACAAAATATGAAATAGATAATAAAACAAAATTCAAAATTTAGACTTCCGGATGCCTATATTCGGGTGGAGACGTACGTTATTCAACATTGGATGGCTCTAGGTACCGTTGTTTTATCACAATGCTAGAAACATACAGACATTCATGCAGATTCTTCATTATTAATTTTTTTAATATACACAGGCGATATATTTGGTGCCCACAATTGAAAGTAACCGACATTTAGTGAATCAACGCAAAATGCCAAAACAAAATTAATAGCCCTTCTGAGCTAATGTCTTTTGGACTATTAAAAACTTAATTATGTAATTGACGTTATAAAAGCTTATTTATTGCAACAAGCACTGATGATAGTCCGATTGTATGAGAATATCATCAAATATTCGGTCTTTCATCGACATATTTGGTATGTGTGAACATTCACTGGAGGATATCGACATTTTCCAATTTCGGTCTTTCACGGTAACATATATATACTTTAAATTATATATATATAGAAGTATCTGACATTATGTTTTAGCATATATGCTAAAGTTTAGCTTATTTTTCCATACTTAAAGCATTTCAAACTGAAATCATCATTTTCATGCATATTTACATATCATATAGACGGACCTTGCAATCGTTTAGCCATTGACATAGCATGAAATCATCAGATAAAATTAGAATTTTATATTGATAAATCAAAAACTAATTGTCCTTTATAGGATTCTTTTCCTCTTAACGAGCAACGAGAAAGCTTAAAAGGAGCAAAACAACACAATTAAGGTAATTAATTTTTCAGTAAAAATAAAAATATTCTCTCCCAACTGAACGCATTTAAATATCACTAAATACACTCGGTTGGCATTATACAATCAGCAAAAATTTAAAATAACAGACTGAAAAAAAAAAAAATTAACTACCAAAATGCTGTAAAAACGCAGAACACTGCACCTAAATTTAACTTGTATTCTTTTCCTATAACCTGCCACCTGTAACCGCACAAAAACTCTGCAGATACTCAAGAGATATCACAATTAAAAGGAAACTTACATCACAGCATAAAATGGTATAAATGTGGTGAAATTTTCTAACGCATAGCATGAATTGCTCGTGAGAAATACAAACATTGTATCCAGGAGGTATTTTAGTTTAATTCTGTTTAACATAAAATCTTGAACCGTGAAATCTTGAATCGTGAAACCAAACCAACGCGGAAGAATATACTTCGATAATTTTAGTTTAAGTATAGCCAAAAGTTATAACCAGTAAAGGATGAGTGAGTGAGTGAGTGAGAGTTTGTTGGCGCAAAACCAAAGATGATTAAAATGCGACTAACACAGGATGGGATGATTACAAATGATGAAATTAAAATACAATAAATAAAAAAAAGTGGACAAATGTACCAAATTCAGAGATGAGTCATATAAAACAAGTAAAACACAATTAAAATCAAAGAACAATTCAAAAAAATTACATACGAAAGCCTCTCTTTTACTAATAAAATCAATTAGCCTCTCGCCAACGGCCCGAGGGAGCGGTAAGTCACAGTTATTAAATGTTTCGGACGAAGCTATAAATATGGACACTCAAATAAAGATGACGGACAGATAAACCACCTTACACTTTGAACCCCAGCCAATTCAGCGAGTTTCTCCGCTCCATCTAGCTTTACATTTCAACGTGTTGTTATTACGTCCCGCTTTGTGCCATTTTCCCGTTTTTGATGCAAAGCAGTTGATAAAAGGGATAAGCCAGGACAGCAACAGCAGAGTCGCGATATCTGCAAGCTCATTCGTTTATTCCCGCATGTCCAGGATCCCAGCATACGGACTTTATATCCCGAATTGTTCAGTTTATTGAACCTTAAACATCCCACCACGGTTCTGAGTGTTGGGCCGAGCCCAAAGATTAGAGCCTATATAGTATGTATAAACTATGAACTTTGCAGAGCTTGAGATGTCCAGACATAATTATTGCAGTTAGTTCAGATGTTAGGACTGATAAGCATGGTGCGGATCTGCCTTATGTAATCTCAAATACATCCTCCGACATCTTTGACTTGTCCGTCTGTATATAGCGGGTAATAACTGCAATTTTGTGCCTGGCTCAGCGAAGAGTTGTCTGTAAATGATCTCGTTGGTACCTGCCTTCACGTGATGCTTGAAAACATCAAGTAACTGAATTCGTGCATTTTCCCAAGGTGGGATTTCAAAGTTCTGCACTGCTTGGGGGCGCTATCAGAGCGAGAAAGTTCCTCAATCCAGGGCGAATCTTAAAGGAAAGGTAGGAAACGACGATGGAGTGTTTCAAATAATGTGTTATACATTATCAGTAAGCAGTCTTATTACGATGTTCGGTTGCGATAGAATATTAAAATATTGCAAAAGTGACAATTTCTCACGCCTCAGATAAAGTGATGGTTCGTTACAGTCAACATACAGGCTCTGGACAGGTGAAGTCCTGAAAACTCCTGAACAAATCCGCAGAGTTTGATGGTGAATAGGATCTAGTTTTAACAATACTGATGACCGGGCGGATCCGTAAACAACTGAGCCATAGTCCAGTCTAGAGAGAACAAGCGCTCTGTAAATGCGAAGCATAGAGCAACGCTCTGCACCCCAGGAGGTGTTCGCCAACACTTTTAAAATATTTAGTATTTTTAAACACTTCTTTCTAAGGTTTAAAACATGAGAAAGGAAAGTTAATTTTTGGTCGAACGTCTCCTAAAAATTTTACTCAGGCGCAACTGCAATAATTGTACCATTCAGATATAACTCAGGCTCAGGATGGAGACCTCGCTTCCTACAAAAGTGCACGCACACTGTTTTCTGTTTCGATAAAGTAAATCCCTGTTTGTTTAACCATTCTTGGATCTTATTCAGAGCCATCTGCAATTGCGTCTCTACAAATCTCATGTCTGCCCCTCGACAGCTAATCTGTAGATCATCAACATATAGAGATCCCAAGATGGTGGGAGGAAGTTCTTTTAGTACAGAGTTTATTTTTAAAACGAACTGGGTTACATTAAGTACACAGCCTTGAGGCACGCCCTCTTCCTGTTCAAAAACATCCGACAAAACAGAGCCAATCCTTACTTGAAAAGTTCTAGTGTTCAAGAAGTTGTGAATGAAAATTGGTAGGTTGCCGCGCAAGCCACGCTCATGAAGATCGCGAAGTATACCGTATCTCCATGCCTTATCATATCTCCATGCATAAGCTTTCTCAATGTCGAAGAATACCGAGACAGGTGACTTCTTCTTCAAAAGCTTTTCGAATGGATGTCTCTAAGAGGAGCATGTTATCTACGGTTGTTCTCCCTTTCGAAAACCGCTTTGATAAGGCGATATAATATAATTCCTTTCCAAGAAGTAGACCAGGCGGCTATTTACCATTTTTTCAAACAGCTTGCATACGCAACTAGTAAGGGCAATTGGCCGATAGTTGGAGGGATTTCCTGGATCTTTCCCTGGCTTAGCAATAGGAATTACAACAGCTCTTCTCCATGCACTGGGAAAATTTCGCTCCTTCCACACTCTTTTGTAAAGAGTGAGAAGGGCAGTCAGTGACTTATAGGACAGATACTTTAGCATTTCGTAATTCACGCCATCAAGACCCGGAGAAAACCTATGTGTCTGCAACAAAGCTCTTAATTCAAGCATAGTAATAACCAGTAAAGGGAAAAAGGAAAGAGGAGTACTATGTTGATAAGATAAAGTGTACTGTATAAAATGATAAAGTAACTATAAATGTTTGTATATGTTACGGCGAAAGCCCGAAGTTCGCCAATTCCCGAATTGGCCGGCCATTTCGCACATTGGCAGGGGTGTGTGGCCAATGTCCGATGTACTGGAAAAGAATAGCGTATATGCGACTTTGGCCGCCCACTTTCCGATGTGCCCGGAACTCCCTGGCCAATATTCGATGTGCTATATTTTCAGTGTACCTGGCATCCATGTATCAAATCACGAATCTGGTAACGCGTTAATGTTTACTGGCCCGCCAAGTGAATAGTTTCGATTGCGGGTTAGTATGTTTTCCCCGGATAGGTAAGCCCTTTCAATATTCGTTTGTTTTTTGTTATACCATGGATCAAACTCAGCTTCAAGAATTTGTACATGCTTTCCAAGCACAGCAACTAAAATATTTCGAATAATTTCTCCTAACTCAAACTTCTAATGGCACTGAGTGGTGCTCAGTGCCATTAGAAGGTGCCTCAGTGCCATTAGTGGTGCTCAGTGCCAAAGTACTGTTCAACGGTCCATAAATCCAACTTCTTCAATCATTTGGAAATTTCGATTCTAAAAAATGTCATTTAACCCTTTGCGGTACAGTTTGTCTGGTCTGGATATGTTGAAGGTATTCGTGATTCATTTTTGTTTACTGTTACAACTTCGCTGAATCGAGACGAGCAGATGAATAAAACAGAATTAAAGTTCTTACCTTAATAAAGTGTAATCCACGTGCGGAGTAAGGAACACGATCTGTATTAGCAAACAAAAAATAACATATTGTTTGGTATTAGAGAAAAAAATATAGCGATGATTACCGCGTTGTTTACTGTCCATTACATAACGCGA